TACAGTATTGTTTCTGTCTGCAATAGCCCTACTGTGCTGTAACTTGGTGTGGTATATGGGCATCTCTGGTAACGCTGCCCTCTCATTCATTGATCTGCTAGCCGCTATGTTATGCTCACGTGTTCTGATCATAATAGCTTTCTAGGACTAAACATTATTTGGATAATTGGTAAAAAAATAAACTTTTTTTTACTGTAACCCTACTGTTAGACCTACCTGAAAAACTAAAAAGCAATTTATTTAATTCGAAGGCCTGTCGTTATTTTTTATTTGTGCTATCATTATTAATTTCTTTATTTGTTCTTATTTTATTACTGACTGCTTACTTGTCATTTTTTTATTCAATTCAAAGTTTGAAATCAAGCTATCTCGTGCTACTGCACCAAAATTACCCCACTGTAAAATTAAAAAAGCACTGAGTGAGCAAAGATTTGTGAGATAGCTAGTTATAATGGTAATTAAATAATGTTTACATATGTATAAAAGCCTACATTAAAATCTGTCATATAAATTGGTCTCTTCATTAGAAATTATCATACTGATTGCCACCATTGATGGACAAAATGTTTTAATAATATTAAAAATATCTGTATGACATTATATTCTGCAGTTCTTCCCTGTTGTACCGAATATCTATACTTTTCAAATTATCATATCGAAGTTAGAAATTCAAATATTGTGACAAAATTAATTTTGTAGGGTGCCACAAGTTTGTTCAAATTTCCAAAGGGTGCCGCGACTGAAAAAAGGTTGGGAAACACTGATTTAGACTAGTGGTCGACCGATATTGGTTTTTTGACAAGCCGATGCCGATATCTTGGAAAGCAGGGTGGCCGATATAAAGCCGATATAATTTTATTTATTTTAATTAATATTTAAGAAATTTGAAATAATTTGAAAATTGATTAAAAAATAAATGTGTAAAATAAACATACTTGTACTTTAGATGGCAAAGTATTTTTCACAGATAAATATTTAATAAAAATATAATTAAAAAGGAAGTAAACACTGTAACCAACAGGGCACTCAGTATTCTGGGACGTTTGTGTGCATTAATCATATTTTTTTCAAATAAAGCACACACAGCTGGATCCGACTAAGTTTGCAAGGTTTTTGAAATTAGATGTTTATTAGACATTCAAAGATTTGTTTAAATGATATAAATGCTGACGGCAAACAAGAAAGTATTATAATGTTTGCCTTTCTATTACTAATAATATAACAGCAATCGTTATAAGACTTTTTTTGTATACATTTTAATTCCTTTGTTTAACTGTTCTATCTGATTATTAGACAGACTTCTATCCGTATTAGACAGAACTGTTGACGACAGCGAACGAGGGAGAATGTGAGCGGTGTGCGCAGGCGCTGCCGTTCTCAGCGCCGTCAAAATAAAAGTCCCGCCTTGAACGCATCGGCCAAACAGGAAAAACTTATCGGCCAATGCCGATATAAAAAAAAAAAGCCAAATATCGGCCGATATATCGGTTGACCACTACTCTAGACTGTAACATATGAATGCATCTGGCTCTTCCTGCAGGTCTTCCTCCCTCCGGCAGCTGGCAGGATCTGAAAGACCACATGCGGGAGGCCGGAGACGTGTGTTTCGCTGACGTGCAGCGTGACGGCGAGGGTGTCGTCGAGTTCCTCAGACGAGAGGACATGGAGTACGCACTGAGACGCCTGGACAGCACAGAGTTCAGATCCCACCAGGTCATTAAAAATCAAAAGAGAAGGAAACTCAGACATATTCATTTCATCCCTCTGGGTTTTTATTGTTTTTTTTAATTATAAGGTTATTCATAAAACTGTTTATTGTTTGAGATTAATCTCTAATTGTCCTTTTGAAGTGAGACTTCTCATGCATTAATGGTTTAACCCCTTAACCGTCACCCCCCATTTTTTTTAAATAGGTATGAAAGTGCACTATCCAAACTTAACTTGTTGTAATTTATGAACACTTTGGAATACAGACCTAAGGTTGGTCTCTTTTTAAAGAAGAAAGCAGATTATTGCAAAAGTGGAGTTTAGTTTTTTCGAAAAATTAAAGTATCAAAAAGTTATAGAAGTTTAAATTTGCTGTAAATAAAATGCACTATATTAATTTTATTTTATTTATAATAAATATTTTACATAACAGGTTTTACTCTAAAATTTGTATAAAATTAAAGCCTTGTGTCTAAATAAGTTATGTTCCAAATTTGAAGTTGATATGAAATTTTAATTTTATTTTATTTAGGGGCGTCATACCACAAACAGCCACCGGGTGCCATGCAAACTCCATTGAATTTTTTTCTGTTACAAATGTCTAGATTTCTCTGTCAATATTACTTCTAACCCAGCTAAAGTCATTTTTTTGTGATTTACTGTTTTCTACATAAAATCATCCTTCATAAAGATGTAGAACATTCTGTGAAAATATAGCCTTTATATCTTTAATATTGACTGAGTAAGGCCATGTCAAAGATTGAAATCATAGTGAAATTAATGGTTGAAATCAAACTTTGATGCTTATCTCATAATTAGATTTTGAGACTTTAGCCTGGATTTCACAGACAGATCCGATCCCAAAAATTCTGAGTATTGACCGATACTGATCCAATACTAGCATAGTTTATTTTATTTTTTTTTATCAATGTAGAATTTCTAAACCTCTGTGTGTTGACCTGATCATCACTGTTTTGTGTGTTAAACACAATCAACTAAATATAGACAACTTCATTATACAGAGAAAAAAACAAATGAAAAAATATATAATCATAATCTATGACAAAAATACTATTAGAAACTAGGTTAGTGGATGATTCAGCAGCAAACGTTCCTCTAGAAAAATTATGAGTGCACATTCATTTTATAAAATCTAAACATTTAGTGAAAAAAAACATTATTTAGTGGGGAACAAATCAAAGTCTGATAAAATGTTACACGTTATATTAAGTAAATATATGCATATATAAATTAAAAGACATTTCTTTTAAATGTAGAGCACAGTAATGAGGCAGCAACATATTACAGATAGGACAGAACAAGAATAATTATTATTAATATTAATAATCTTTCATTGCGCAAAAGTCGGAGCGATACCGATACTGAATATCAGATCGGTGCATCCCTAGTTTATACACACTGATATTTCTGTTTATCACAAAGTTTCAGATACACTACCATTTAATTTAAATTATAATTGTATTTTTGTTCTTTCAACTTATTTTTATTTTGATCATTCATTTTTATTTTTGTTTACATTCTAGTTCTGCTATATTTTTGTGTTTGTTAATTAATAAAAATGGGGTCAGTAAGATTAAGAAATTAATACTTTTATTCAGCAAGGATGCATTAATTAAATTGATCAAAAGTGACAGTAAAGACATTTATAATGTTACAAAAATGATTTCAAATAAATGCTGTTCTTTTGAACTTTCTATTCATGAAAGAATCCTGAAAAATAAAATGTATCACGGTTTCACTGAAGCAACAGCACTGAAAATGTTTAACATGCGTATATTCACATTGAGAACAGCTGTTTTAAATTGTAATAATATTTCACAGTATTTTTACTGTATTCTTGATCAAATAAATGCAGCTTAGTGAGCAGAAGAGACTTCTTTTAAGACAAAAATCTTACCATCTCCAAACTTTTAAAAGGTAGTGTATATTTTAATCTACAGTTTAATATTTTTGCATATAATCTATTATTATTTTTGCATAGACTTCTGATCTGAGGTTAGGTGGCTTCAGGACTAGCGATGATATAATATATAAAATATAATTTTAAACAGAAAATCAAATCTTAAGTGCATTCTAGTGATCATAATGATTTCTTTTTTAATCTACTATTTATTTATATTTAATGCACATCAAAGTAGCTCACCAGGTTACAATTCACTGCAAGTTATATCCTATATGTGTCCCTGGAGCACAAAAGCAGTGTTAAGTCGCTGGGGTATATTTGTAGCAATAGCCAACAATACATTGTATGGGTCAAAATTATAAATTTTTCTTTTATGCCAAAAATCATTAGGATATTAAGTAAAGATCATGCTCCTTGAAGATATTTTGTAAATTTCCTATCGTAAATATATCAGAACTTAATTTTTGATTAGTAATATGCATTGCTAAAGACTTAATTTGGACAACTTTATCGATGATTTTCTCCATATTTTGATTTTTTTTGCATCCTCAGATTCCATATTTTCTAATAGTTGTATCTCAGCCAAATATTGTCCGATCCTAACAAACCTTACATCAATGGAAAGCTATTTATTCAGCTTTCATTTGATGCATAAATCTCAATTTCGAAAAATTGACCCTTATGACTGCTTTTGTGGTCCTGGGTCACACATATACATATATATCTTGAATTTTGCTGTTGTAAAAATTCTGAAGTCATGTTTTTGTCCAGCGTCTCATGAATCAGTGTTTTGTTGATGTCTGTATTTCTGAATATCAGTGTCCGTTCATCAAAGTTCATTGTTTGTGGCGCAGGGAGAGACGTCCTACATCAGAGTGATGGAGGAGCGGGGCCCGATCACCCCCGCGTCACATGACCCGCCATAGCCCACCCTCCCGACGAGCCCCGCTCCAGGATCACAGCCCTCCGCCGCGCCACTATCGATGAGCGGCTGCCTCTCCACCGCCACGACCCCTTTTCTTTCTTCATTTAGTAATTTACATTCCATTGTAGGAACCTGAATGGCCTTGTTCACCGTTCGGTTCACGGAGAGCTTGCGGATATGTTAATAATCACGTGGATGATGCTGTAGATGTTTACAGATGTGGTTATGATTGTGAAAGATCTGAAGATGAATAACCCGTTTATCCTTCGGGATTATTGACATGAGGCAACAGACTAAAGATGTGTTGTTTGTGATTAATCTGGTCCATTTCATAGACATTGACTTTTATTATTTTTTATGATTTGAATAAAAGGCTGCGATTTTAAAATGTTTCTTTCTGGAATCTCCCCATGTGATTTTTTTGTTTTCTTCTGGTTTTGTATCATGTGATGATTGTTTGCATCATTTTTTTTTTTTTTGCAATTAAAGCATTGAATCAAAGTTACTCTATACTGAGTCATTTTTACAAACTACTGTTTTGCAGGAATAATGGAAACAGTTTTAAAAAATCAAGTCACTGAATTATTGGTAATACAATTGTGCATGTTAGTTTATTTTACAGTGCATTATTTAAAAATGCATTATTAAATGTTGGTTAATGATGCATTAACTAATGTTAACAGACATTTGATTAACAAATGTTGAAATTATCATTAAGATGATTAAATAGTTTACAAATATCGCTTGTTTATGTAAATGTAGTTAATGAAAGCTTATTGTAGTGTGTTAACTAATTTTCTATAGCAGTTATTTTTTAATTAATATTGAGCTGGGCTCTCAATATTGCCTTAGTGAGATGTTTAAGCAGATGCATATTTAATTCATTAGATGATTTCTTGTATTATCTAAGCCATTTGTCCACGTAATATGTAATTGTTTAAATCTTTTAATTTCAAGGATTGCTAACAAATGGAAAACATAATCACAGCTGATTAACAGCATGCAAATGCATTAATGTGTGAGAAGCCCATTTCAGGCTAATTGGCACAATCAGGCTTTTTAGTTTAATTGCTCCATTGGTGTCATAGACTGATATATTCTGATTTGACTAGACGTCATTGATTTATTAGGCCAATCAGCGCTCGCCACTGACTGAGATGACCAATCAAATCAAAGAAGGCGGGGCTTTACTGCACACTGGAGTCGAACATGAATTTCAGCGCAAGATTTAAGTTACTAAACGTAAGATTTGACAATTGTTTGACGATATAAATGTTAAACGGCTAAAAGAAACACTATTCGAGTCACTTCGGCGTTTTGAGTGTAAAATATAGGGTGAATCGTTTCCACGATTTCATTACTGAATGTAGCGAGACCAAAAATACATTTTGCCGTTTAGATTTTTCGACATAATGGCCATATACGAATAAAAGTTAATGTGCCCATATTTTAAAATAAAATAATTATTCTTGTTTTACTGTTTTTCTTTCTTTATTGCCTTCGATTAGTGGCGGGCGCTTTCGAAACTTCGCGAGGCTTCGAAACCTTTGCGAATCATTTGTTTCGAGTCAGTGATTCGGATCGCGCGTCAAACCGCCACGAGTCACCATGGAAACGGAGTAACGGACGCTAAGAAAAAGCGCGCCATACTGCGTCTTTCTTCTTTTGTTCGCCATTTGGGTCATTCTACAGAAATGTCTGCTTTTGCTATGGCAAGATGTCTTAAAATTTATTTATTTTTCTAACATTTAAACTTAGACCACAATGTTAGATTACCTTTTGACTTTATGAATACATATAAATGACAGCTTAAAGATTTAAAAAAAAAAAAACTTTTTTGTGCAATTATTTAAAGACCACATGTACCGTTTTTTTGTCGCTGCTGTTACCTTCTTTAGGAATATTAAAGGTTTTTATTAAATATTATTTCTCGATTTTTTTTTCAGCATGTAGTCAAAGTTACAGAAAAATAATGAAAATGCAAGAAATAAGGAGATTATATTTTATTTATTTAATGTGACAGAAAAAAACACAGTAACACCAGTGACGTACATAAGACCTGATATACTGGTCTTCACTGTTGTTATCCATAAGGAAGGTGACACCAGTGACAATTTTCATGAAAAATGCATTTTACAAAATGGCTGCTGCAAAATATCAAATCACATGTTGTCAATCATGGTATACTCACTATATTAAGTAGTTTAATCCATTTGTATTCTAGTTGTTTTTTACAATTCCCTAACAATAAAGTAGGTCATACCAGTGACTTCAACTACAAGCTTCATATGAAATCATGAGATAAATGAGAATATTTCTGATAACTGAAAAGAAACAGTGGACTTAACATGGGCCTTTTTTCATAGATCTTCAGTAAATAGGAAGAAAGAAGTCAGGTGATGTCATCAGTGCGATTTTTATTCCAAAATAAAAGATTTTTGTAAAACGGTAACACCAGTGACAACTCCAGGGGACCACTATTTTCATTATATATTTTATTATATTTATTCAGCATTTAGTTTTTTATGCCATTTATATCATATATTTGATACATTATTGTATTTTAAATGGTAGAAAAACCAGTTTTTGACCATTAAAATAAAGCACTCTCCCTCTGTACGAGCAGTTTTATGGTTCTTGGACTTCTATGTAATTAATTAAAAACAAATATTGCCACATTGATGGCTCAAGAAGGTGTAATTGTTCAAATAACATAGTGCTTCATTTTAAAATATAAAGAAATTGTAACCCTAAAGTGTTTCTCACGTGTAATATTTCTGTGTAATGACCCATTTACATCAGTGCATATCGTATGGAAGAAAAAAAGTCAGAATTGTGAGTTTATATAAAAAAAAAATCAGAAATGTGAGATGAAAAAGTCGCAATAACTTTTTTTTTTTTTTTTTTAATTCAGTGAGAAGCGAGCTTCCATAATATCGCCACCTAATTGGTGGTTGTGCAATCATTTTTTAATCTGGTCCTTGTCTCAAACCTTGTTATAATAGTGCTTAATAGTTAATATACAGTATATTGATATAACTTAAATATTACCTTTTGGGTACACTTAAATATTACATATAATAGTGCTTTTTAATATAGATCTCTATTGACTTGACTAACCTGCTCCATAAAATACACAAAACAAGCCCTGCAAAGGAACAAAACAACACATATTATACATAGACTTCACTCTTAGATGATTTGTTAATTGCATTTAATGATTGCAATATGAAAAAACACTTGGAATTGGTTTGTAAAAGGGGTTTTAATGCATGTTTTGCTGTTTTCGTTGCAATTACAGTGTTCTGACCAGTGCTTCTAAACCAAATAATTTTGCAATTGGTTCAGTTGATTCAAAGATTCGAAAAGCTTAGTTACGGCCTGGAGGCCCATTGGACACTTTGTGGAAGCAGCACAACAGTTGTTCTCATTGTTGGCTTGCAATGAAAAATAATGAAAATAAAATTAAATCACCCACTGCCACACTGTTCTACATTAACAAACCTGTTCTGAGGCACGCAGGAAACTATGGAAGCTTGCTTCCAACACGGAGAAAATAAATAAATAAATAAAAGTAACTGCGACTTTTTCTCGCAATTCTTTTTTTTTTTTTTTAGCAATTGTGAGAATCAAGTCAGAATTGTGTTATAAACTTCTTGCGTCAAGTTTATTTCTCACAATTCTGACTTTACTCTTTATTATGAGGGAAAAACAAATTAATTGAGATACACTCAAAAAAATAAAATAAAAAAATATCGTATCGAACCGTGACCCCCGAACCGAGGTATGTACCGAACCGTGACATCTGTGTACCGTTCCACCCCTAATATATATATATATATATATAAACATAGAATTCAGAGAAATAAAGTTAGAATTGTATGATTTTTTTTTTATTCTGTGGTGGTAGAAAAAAAATCCAAAATGTCAACTCACTATTTTGTAATTAGCAATTCTGAGGGAGAAAAAAAAAATCAGAATTATTAGTTATAACTTACAATTGCGAGATATAAGCTCGCTATTCTTAGAAGAAAAGAAAAGCGCAAATTGTGAGATAAAAAGTTGCAAATACTTTATAAAAAATTTTTATTCCATGAACAAAAAATTGTGGAATGTAAACTCAGAATTCGGAGGAAAAAAGTCCAAATGTTGAGATGGACTTGCGAGGGAAAAAACAAACAAAACGTTTTCATTAAGTTATCTTTTTCCGTGAAATAAACGAACAAAAAAAGAGAAACCTGTAAACTCAGAATTCTAAATGGCAAGATAAAGTAGCATTAGCAGTGTTTTGTGTCAGAAAAAAATTGCAAAATGTAAACTCAAAAAAAGTCAAATTATGAGATATAAACTCACAAGAAAAGTCAGAATCGTGTGACCAAAAGTTGCCTTTACCTTTTTTTTTATTCTGTTAAACAAAAAAGAATAGCAAGACATAAACTCGCAAAAATGAGAGAGAAAAAAAACCTAAAAAATAACACTGAGCCAAACACACATGCTAAAAAACAACAACTTACTTACAAGAGTGAAATATTTCAGTTTCATATTTCAGACTGTTCCGTGTTGAGTAAATAAATCATAAAAACAGTAATAATCAGAAAAACAATTTCCTTCTTAAATAAATAAATGAATACAAACATACATAAATAGTTAATAAAAATAGAAAAGTGCTGACGGTCAATATTTACTTAAGTAGAACCATCTCCTTCTTTACTATAATAATAATAATAATAATAATAATAATAATAATTAATCAAATTATTAGTCAATATTTACTTAAGTTGAACCATTTCATTCTTGACAAATAATAATAATAATTAAAATAGAAAAAAAGTTAATAAAAACAGGAAAGTGCTAATGATTGTCAATATTTACTGAAGTAGAAGCATTTAATTCCTCTCAAAATAAATAAATGAATACTTAATAAAATTAGGGAAGTGCTGAAGATCAGAGTAGAAATATATGAGATGCATCATGTTAATACACATTTTTATTTTTTACATTTTATTCATTTGATCTTTTCATGCTGTTACGTTATGCATTAGAATAGAATTTGTATCTTGATTATTAAATCAAAATATTTTTGATCACATGTTTGGATGTTTGTAATATTGTCTGTGCAAAGGCACTTATGTAATGCATATAATGTAAACATCAAATATACAAGTTTATATATTTTCCCACCAGTTAAGTAAAGCACGATTCACCAGAAGAACAGTCAACACATACATTTATTAAATATTATAATACAGATTATATCATATGCAGCACGCAGTTCTGACAATTTACTATGTAGTTTCACAGAGAACAATAAAAATATATAGGTTTCCAATACAGTTTCAACAAATCATTTGTGTCTGTCGTTGTCTGTAGTTCGCGTCACTGAGGCTGCGAGCCGAATACATCGATCAGAAGAAGTTTTTACAATTCACACGTCCAATGTAGATATTGTTATATTGTGAGCTATGTACAGTGCCATTCAGTGTAAGCTAATGTTACAGGGCATAAAACAGCAATACATACAGAGAGATGATGTGGCAGATATGACGGGAGTTCGTGTCAATAACACTGGCACTTCAACGGATCGCTCTGAATTACTGCAGATTACTACAATCACATCAGATCCAACAAGTGTTTAACGTTTGGGACAGCATACAAAAGTTTGGCTGCTGGTAGAAGAGCACGCCTGTATACACACACACACACACACACACACACACACTCACACACACACACTCTCACTCACACTCACACACACATTCTCACACACACACTCTCTCTCACACACACACTCACACACACACACTCACACACTCTCTCTCACACACACACTCACACACACACACTCACACACTCTCTCTCACACACACACTCACACACACACACTCACACACTCTCTCTCACACACACACTCACACACACACACTCACACACTCTCTCTCACACACACACTCACACACACACACTCACACACTCTCTCTCACACACACACTCACACACACACACTCACACACTCTCTCTCACACACACACTCACACACACACACTCACACACTCTCTCTCACACACACACTCACACACACACACTCACACACTCTCTCTCACACACACACTCACACACACACACTCACACACTCTCTCTCACACACACACTCACACACACACACTCACACACTCTCTCTCACACACACACTCACACACACACACTCACACACTCTCTCTCACACACACACTCACACACACACACTCACACACTCTCTCTCACACACACACTCACACACACACACTCACACACTCTCTCTCACACACACACTCACACACACACTTTCACACACACTCACACACACACACACACTCTCACACACACACACGTCTATATGGCAGATATCAGATATAAGTGAACATCAAGCGCATTGCACACACGTCCCTGAACAGAGAAACTTAAGGCAAAAAGATCAATACGAATGAAACTCTGTCTGGTGATCGATTGTTTTTACAGTAAAGTAGCTTCACTGAGTGAGGTACGTCATTGTGTAGCAGCTCAACAGATTATCTGGGTGATGAAAACATGACGGTTAATGAGTGAATGCGGTGAGAACACGTCAGGCTCACATTTCACCACAAAATCAAAAGGAAAAAATAAAACCTGCATAAAGGAAATTCAGCCTAATTTTAAGAACATTTCATGACAATTAAACACATCTTACCTTCAAATAAATAAATAAAGTCTCATTTTCATTCAATGCAATGTGACAATTTTATATATATTGGCCGGTGACTTAAGGAAATTTACCAGCCAGAAATATTTTTTTATCAGCCATGAAAAAAAAAACAGGCAGTTATGACACCAACATTTTAGTTAATAGCAAAAAATCACAATCCCTGATTCCAGTTTCGATACCTGCTAAAACTACTAGCTAACCTATATAAATTTAATAGGCTACGTTATTAAAGACTAGTAAATAGTCAGTTTTAAAAGAAGAGCAAATCAAATTACAAGCAATAGCACAAAATAGCCTACTATACAACAAAGATACAAATAGAAACGGTGCATTTCAGGCAGGTCTAACAGTGGTTTTCAGGTTGCCTACAGAAATGTAATAAATTATGCTAATCAAGTAACACTATAGTCTTTATATCTTTTTTTCAAGTTCAAGAGCTGTGAGTGATTGTTTTTTTTCTTTGTCCTATTTTCCTTGATCAACATCGCAGCAAACGCAGACAACAGCAGGATTATTTCTTAACTTAATTTAACTTAACTTAATTCTGTGTCTATCACTTTAACACCGTGTCTACACCGCAGCAGCTTGAAGTTGTCAACACTGGATGCGACAAAGCGGCCGTTGCTTGGACTATTTCAGAAATAGAACGAGGAATCCGTTTACTTTCGGGGATTTGTCGTGTCGCGCCGCATCATATCACTGATTATAATGGGTTCTATTGTCTTGTGACACATTGCGTCGTGCGCGGTTCGTGTCCGTTTTTTTTCTCAGCTGTTCATGTTCACTTAAGAACTAACTACTTTACTAGGATACTCACAGAGACGGGCATTTTGTACATAATTTTGTGTGAATTTGTCCGTTCAAGAGCAGGAAGGAAGCAGAGCCTAAGACGCGGCTTTCAGGCCAGGGCTTCGGATGTTTAAACTTCCCACTCAGCGCGAGTAACGCGTCTCCTTTCATTCTAGATCTAGAGGTGGAATTTTTTTTAATTTGTACTACTGTCTGTTCAAAATAAATGAAAAGAAACTGAGCATAGTAGATTTGTTTGGTTTTTTCCCTGTTGTACCGAAATCGTATCGAACCGTGACATCCGAACCGAGGTATGTACCGAACCATGACATCTGTGTACCGTTCCACCCCTAAAATTTAGAATCACAAGGAATTTGTAGTTAATAGCTTTTAGGGGTGGAACAATACATGTATTCGCACCGAACCGTCACGGTACGGACATCTCGGTTCGGTGCATGAGGCCTTACAATGAATACAGGCAATTCACCCCCAATCCAGAAGGGGGGCGCCCGCAGCAATACAACGCTGTTTGATAACCAGCCGCCAGCAGAAGAACAGCGAGCGAATGCCATGAGATGCGCACTTGAAAACATATCGAACCGTGACATCCGAACCGAGGTATGTACCGAACCGTGACATCTGTGTACCATTCCACCCCTAATATATATATATATATACATACACACACATACACAGGGGCAGACTTAACCAATAAGTGAGGTAAGCAGGCGCTTAGGGCCCCGGGGAATCAGGGGGCCCCATCTGATATTGGTAAAACATATTTGGCAAACGTTCCGGTGTGTATTTGTGTTATGGAGAGCGTCAAATGTTCACTCACCGCTCAAAATGCAGAGTTTTTGTCAAGTGCTGATCTCTGCAAGCTCGTGAATCCTCTCATTATAACTGTGTGTAGATACGATGTAAATAAGAGATTAATTGTGCAGTGCAGACAGCTTCATTGATGATCGCGATGAATTGAATGACAGCTTTTAGTGATTATAGAGGGAGCAGCTCTTTGCGCACTTTCTAGTCTGTATAATCCTGTCTGACTGTCACAGAACGTTATATTAACCTCAGAGAAGAAAGTTTTGTCATTTATTTGTCTTGATGTTTTAAAATGACTCGCTTGTGTGCTTTTACTATGCGCACTCATACAAATGCACGAATGTGATTCGAGATTTTCGCATAATAATAGATTACATTTTCAATGTGTTTCTTGGCAAACCCTACCGTATGCCTTCAGAACACTTGGAATACGGAACGAGTTGCATGGGATACTTTTACGACATTTGAATCCTTTTTGTAAAAAGATTGAAGAAGGTTACAATTCATTAAATGGACAAGTGCAAGCATTTTTTTTTTTTTTTAAATAATGTCTTCTTTTGTGATCTGAAAAAAAAAAAGTTAGGCTAATATGGCTTTAGAACAGCATCAGGTTGAAGTTAGCAATGCTGGAACTGATGTGTGTGTGTGTGTGTGTGTGCGCGCCGGCACGATCACTTCAACGGTTTCCTTATACCAGCAGAATAAAAAAAAAAAGTTAGGCTAATATGGCTTTAGAACAGCATCAGGTTGACTAATTATTTACTTATTTTGTGAAGAGGTAAATAAACTATAAACTATGATAGAGAGAGCAAGCAAAAAAAAAAAAATTAAAATGATTTACTATATTTTTGCAAAAATATTAATAGTTCTAAAAAAATAATACAAATATCATTTATTTTATTTCCTTTGTATTTAGTGGTGAAATATGAGGCGAGATTCTCCCAATCAGCTGAAAATAATAATTCACAATAATTCACTTTCTTCCCTGACGTGAACAGGTGAAGTGTGAAGTACGCTAAACATCTGCAATAATGATTATGTCTTAATTTTCACATATTAAAAAATAAATAAATATACAGCATTATTTTGAATACTTTGTGCTTTTATAAAACCTGTCTTAGAAAGGGTGCGTGCCATCACTGCCATTCATAATCATCTTTATATATTTCGTAGCCATTGGTTTACATCCACGACTGCATATAAAACTATTCTCCAAGTATCCTACATTTGTTCTATAATATCTCTCTTCATCTCTTATATATTCTCAGTCATATTTACCCTTACAGACCCCATGAAATCAAAATCAGTTTAGCTTTGAATCCATAACTAAATAAATGTTAACATGTATTTTTGTCCAGTCAAATGGGTGATTTGTGACCCTGGACCACAAAACCAGTCATAAGGGTCTTTTTGAAATCATCTGAAAGATGAATACATAAGCGTTCCATTGATATATGGTTTGTTAGGATAGGACAATATTTGGCTGAGATACAACTATTTGAAAATCTGGAATCTGAGGGTGCAAAAAAATCTAAATATTGAGAAAATCATCTTTAAAGTTGTCCAAATGAAGTTCTTAGCAATGCATATTACTAATCAAAAATTAAGTTTTGATATATTTACGGTAGGAAATTTACAAAATATCTTCATGGAACATGATCTTTACTTAATATCCTAATGATTTTTGGCATAAAAGAAAAATCTCTAATTTTGACCCATACAATGTATTTTTGGCTATTGCTACAAATATACCCCAGCGACTTAAGACTACTTTTGTGCTCCAGGGTCACATTTGTCCTGCTCAAACTTCCTATTTCAATATGCATTCTCTATAAATTAATCTGAAATATAATAAATATTGATATTAAAGTCTGGGCAGATGAAAACAACACTGGTTTGGCCTTTACTTCAGCTGAGGGTTTGTTTAAAGGCTAAAAACAGATACCGAGCGTCTTCAGAAGTTGATTCACTTGTTCTCAATCAGGATCTGGACCTTGTGCACCAGCTCTCGGGCCATGAGCAGCAGCTTCGGGACGTCATGCCGTTCAGCCATTTCTAGAAGAAGACATAAAGGACAACAAACAGCACGTCACGTCGGCTCTGATTTTGCACAGCCCTATGATGATTGGTCAGTCGGCTCACCATTGAAGAACTTGATGATGTCGGTGAAGTCCATGTTGTTCTCCAGGATGATGTCGCGGTACAGCTCCACCAGCGCCAGCGCGATGAACAGCACGAAGTGCTCCGAGGAGGCGTAACGCGCGGCCCAGACGGTCTCCCACACCAAGAACACGTCATCGTACACCATTTCTGACAGAGAGGTGAACAACAGCAGGTGACGATTTCTCCAGCTCAAAAGAACCAGGAATGACATGTTTTTAAGAAATATAGAGGAGTAAAAAGTACAATATCATGCTTTGGAATGTAGTGAACAGTGTTGGGGAAAGTTACTTTGTGAGTGAGATGAATTAATGCATATTCATATTTATTTTAGAACTACAGTAACATCTGATTTCTCTCAACATGGGGACAGGAGAGCTGTCAGTCAATAAATTGGAAAAAAAAAAAAAACTTGCGTTACTTATTTGAAAAAGTAACTCAGATATTCTCTTGTAAATTAAAAAGTAATGCTGTAACTCGCGTTACTTGTAATGCATTACCCCCAACACTGGTAGTGAAGTAAAAATAATAGTTTCTAAAAAAAGCAAAAAATAAAAACAGTCGCTAGTGTGTTCGTAGAATGATTATTTCATGTCCGTAGCACAAATGTAGCTACCATGTAGTTACCAGTAGACTTACTGTATTTATTTATGATTTAATATTAATTTAGTTAAAGGCACAATATGTAAGTTTTCACCGCTAGAGGTCGCTTTTTCAAAACAATAACAAAGGCGAAGCTTGATGACGCTTTGAAGGAGAGTGGAACGATGTCGTTTTCAGATTCATGTTCATGGATGTAATAAATAAAAAAAATGTATTACCTGTACCTTCCAAAGTTATTCAAACGGCGAATAAATTATATAGAGAAAGCGAGCAAAGAACAGAACGTTTAACGCTACATTGTCAAAGAACAGTATGCCTGACTTCAGTCTAGCGCGAGTTTAAGCACTCTCAAAAAACTCCCCTTATAATTAGTAAAGCTGTCTATCTAGCTCTCAAAACTCTGTGTTTCAGCGACGACTCGTCTAAACGCCTCTGATTGGCCGCTGCGTTCATAAACTCAACAGACTCGTGTGTGTGATTGGTTATAACGCGCAACACTGTAAAAACACGGAAAAAGATTCATGGTGCAACATTGAGCAGATCTAAATTTAATGCTGCATCAAAGAACAGTATGCCTGACTTCAGTCTAGCGCGAGTTTAAGCACTCTCAAAAAACTCCCCTTATAATTAGTAAAGCTGTCTATCTAGCTCTCAAAACTCTGTGTTTCAGCGACGACTCGTCTAAACGCCTCTGATTGGCCGCTGCGTTCATAAACTCAACAGACTCGTGTGTGTGATTGGTTATAACGCGCAACACTGTAAAAACACGGAAAAAGATTCATGGTGCAACATTGAGCAGATCTAAATTTAATGCTGCAGTCAACACTTTTCATTTCATTTTCATTTTATTCGCGACTGCCGTAATGGATTTAGTTTAATTGCAGCAGCATTTTTGTCCACATGTGTTGCCATAGTTTCTACAAGCGGAAACCGATAGCGCGGATATTACGAAATTGATAGGCGAGCCATTATTTAAAATTGGATTTCTCTGGATTTGCAAATCCTTGGGGACTTTTGGGATAACGTAAGTGCACAACTGCATGAAATATATAACAATGTGCAAGTGGTTTTTGGATATTTTATTACGAAAATCTTACATATTGTGCCTTTAACGTAATATTTATGAGCATTTTTGTTTTGCTTTGCAGTCTAAACAAGATGCCGAATGCGCTCACCTCTCTTGAAGTCCAGGAGGAACCAGCGGTAGCAGAAGTAGAAGTGTGTGTAATCGCCGTTCTGCTGCATCAGCTCGAACAGCTCCGAGTCCAGAATCTGAAGAGGTGCGACAGAATCATGACACACACACACAGTCTAAAACATCAGCAGCATGTGTGTTTCATAAGTGCGTGTGATTGTGGGTAAACCTGGATCAGGGAGCGCATGTTGGCGAAGTGTGTGTCCATGGCTCCTCCGTGAGGGAAGTTCTGGTTCATTCGTTTCATGAGCTCAGTGAAGCAGCTGAAGGCCATGGCCTCTGATGTACAATCAGAAACAAATAGTCACGTGGCAATATAAAATAGGCGTATTGCTTTAGTTTAAAATCACAATATTTAAAGTGTTTTTCTATGGTCAAGGGGTATTTAAGGTGCCTGAAAAACTTTTATTGCTTTTATTAAATACTGGCAACTGCAACATGATAATTTTTTTTTGTTGTTGTAATATTCACATTAAATAATTTCCCATCAACTCATGAACATACCATCATCCAGGATGACCAGCAGGGGTGCTAATAAGTCACACATTCCCTGGACGTATCCAATGTCAAGGTGCTGCCAAACGTAACTTAAAATAAAAAAATTAAAAAACGTGGTAAGATCCCCATTTACTTTTAGAATTTAAAAAATGCTACATTCCATTCTGCAAACAACTGATCAAAAATCAAAAGTGACAGTAAAGGCATTTACGATGTTACAAAATATTTCCATTTCAAAGAAATGGAAAGCTGTTCTTTTGAACTTTCTATTCATCTGTGAATCCTGAAAAATAAAATGTATCACAGTTTCCACAGATATATTGTGCAGCACAACTGTTTTCAACATTGATAATAATCAGAAATGTTTCTCGAGCAGCAAATCAGCATATTAGAATGATTTCTGAAGATCACGTGACACTGAAGACTGGAGTAATGATGCTGAAAATACAGCTGCGCATCACAGAAATAAATTACATTTTAACAGATATTCACACAGAAAACAGCTGTTTGAAATTGTAAAAATATTTCACACATTTACTATATCTTTGATCAAATGAATGCAGATTTGGTAAGCAGAAGAGACTTATAAGTGACCAGTATTCACAGAATATAAACTGAAATATTAGATCAGCTTTATTTTACCTGCACATGATGTTGCGCAGTTTCTCCAGGTTGGCCGGGGTGAAATACCAGTAGTTTCTGTCACATCGCTGGACGTCTTTGTCAATGCGGTGCAGATTGAGTGTGTACAGGTCCACCAGCTCCTGCTGTAAAACAAACAAGAAGACAATATAAATCTTTGAAGATCACACACATTTACAGGAACAGTTCAACCAAAAATTAGCCGAATCCTGTATGACCTTCTATCTTCAGTGGAACACAAAATAAGATGCTTAACACGTTTAAAGGAATGCAAAAAATAAGCTAAATTTGGGTCTGTGCCTCACACAAAGCTATTGAACGACTTCAGAAGACTTGAAATATAGTACATGAGTCCTATTAGCGACTTCCATGATGCTTTTTGGAGTTTGCTGTCTTGTGGTCACTAAATAAAATAAAATAAAAAAACATAAAAATAAAACAAACAAAATATTTATTTATTATCCTCTGTATAACCAAGATAGAACCAAGGGAGAAATAGAATCAAAACTAGAACCAAAATTCACAAAAAAAAAAAGAAGGTAAATAAACACAAAAACATACCAGTTTCAAATAGTTAAAAAAAACAATGTAAGTCATAAACTAAACTAAAATATTATGTATTTATTAAAAAAATACATATTTTATTTTAAGTTCCCATTGTATGGAAGGTATTTTAAAACAAAACTTTACATTTTAATTTGAATTGTGTCACTATTATTGTGTGAGCATTAATAAAAAGCTTTGTAAAAACTGTATTTGCATTTTCTTTTTCACGTTTGCCTTTTCATTTTAATATTGGCGGTCTTGCCTCGAGATTGCAGTGAAAATGAAATAACAAATCACCAGCTGCATTTTTTTTTTTCAAATTGACAGCATGCATTGTCACAGAGAAAATTTTAATGAAAAATAATTTAATTTCATTTTTAAATTTGGCACATATTTTTTATAATGAAATTGTTAATCTGGTTTTCATTTTCATTTTATACATACATTTATTTATTTATTTATCTATCCTTTTATCCTATTAATCCATCCATCCTTATCTTTATCCTGACCTTTAAAATAGAAGTCCTAAACTAAACTATACACAAAAAATTCAATTAAATTTAATAGGCACAATGTCTCGATCCCTTACACTGATTATGTTTTTGGGGCCATACCGAGTAGTAGGGTTGGGTACCGTTCACATTTTAACCGGTACGGTACCGGTACCTGAATTTTGGCACCGGTACCCAACGGTAACTTTTTCCGGTACTAAATTCTCTGTGTAATTACAAAAACATTTATTTCAGTGGGAAAATAAGTCCAAAAGTCTCAATTTCAACATTTTGAACAATAGGGCCTTCCCAGAAATTCTTTTTAACATTTTTCTGAAAATCAAATGAAGGCATTAAACATTTATTTTAAATCAAATGAGAATTAAACCCTTTTATGTTTTGGCAAACAAACTGAGGTTTATTGTAGAAATTAATACATGGAAGAAAAATTGTGTGAATATTCTTTTAAAAAAATTTTTAATAGGCTAATAATTGTTTCAGACGAATCCAGTCGGAGTTATATTAAAAATTGTCCTGGCTATTCCAAGCTCTATCATTGCACGCTGACCTCATAGGTCATCCTCCCGGAGCTGCTTCTGTGTACAACAGTGAGCGCAAGCTAGATTCAAGTGATTATTACGTTTTGAATATGGATATTTTTCTTACAAAAACGCATTGATTCGCTACAGTAGGCCTTTGTTCACCCCCCGGAGCCGTGTGAGACACTTTTTTTAATGGATGGGCGCTTTTTATTTAACTTCTTTTGGACTGAAGCACTGCAACACCCGCTGACTGCAATGATAGAGCTTGGAATAGCCAGGACAATTTTTAATATAACTCCGACTGGATTCGTCTGAAAGAAGAAAGTCATATACACCTAGGATGCCTCAGGGGTGAGTAAAACACAGCCTAATTTTCATTTTTGGGTGAACTAACCCTTTAAGTGGCAGACCTACTTTTGATTTATTAGTCCAAAAATTGACGAATTCCATGGCATTCCGCGCTATAGAATAAATTACGTTTTTATGAATGGACTCCACGATCCCGTCCACGTTTTCACAGAAACCATATGGCCCTAGAAATGTTACCACACTTCAGAACATTTCAGCTTGCCCTGTGTGTTGTTTGAACGAGTTGCAGGGGTGACCTCACGTCACAGGGTCTCTCTTTCTCTATCTGTAGCGTATTTGCCCAGATGCGGTCTCAGGTACCGAAATTTGGCACCGATTGATTTAAAGTGAATCGGTACTCGGTAGTACCGACGCAATTCGGTCGGTACCCTTAAAAGTACCGAGTTCGGTACCCAACCCTA